AGTTTAGTGTGTGCTGTCCCTGCTCATGGCAAGGGCATTGGAACTAGATGATCTCAAGGTCCTTTCCAACCTTAACTATTCTATGATTCTATGAAATGTCCTTCTGATGCAGATACCAAATCAGGCAGGTTCTTTAGAATAAAAAAGGATCTAACCCCCCTTGAAATGTAATGGTTTACTACACATGGAACAGGTAATGTGTACAAACAAGCATATTACAAATACTCTAGACATAATGAAAGGATTAAAAAATAGAAGAGATATTCATGATCCGAATATGTTTTTTAATTTTCTCAGGCATTTTCAAAATATCCTTACAGTGAAAGATAGAAATAAACCCAGTCATAGAGCATTTTTATTCCTACCTATACACCACTAAGTTTTTAACACATTTATATGACCAGTTGCTTTTCACAACTCAGTCTTCCTTGGTAATTAGAATTATTAAAAGCAGAAAGGGAAGGCAGAAATACCGTTTTTATAGAGGTCTTCAAATTTTCTTTCCTGTGTGTTCATCTGTTTTTTGACTTGCTGACTGTACACTCTCCAGTCCTAAAGCATGCTTTTAGAATGACCTCAGCCTTGTAAGGAAGCAAGGCATGCCTCTCCGCCTTCTAGCATGAGATCCACCTTTCTTGTCTCACACAAAACTACCTAATCAAAGGCTTGTTATCCAAAAATAAGTGGTACTGGCAGTAATAGGATATATAAGAATAGTGACTGCATGAGGCTATTGAAAGTGACAATCTCACAATTATTAATGCAGGAGACAGTATAGGAGTCATTCTAATACTGCTAGGAAGTCAAAGCTTGTGTGCATACCCTAACTTTGAGTTGTATGATACACTACAATTAGTCAGAAAATATCAGAGATTAGCACATTAAGTGGCTTGGGAGGGGCAAAGTATGTTCTGGGTCATAGGTTCCAAAAGGCAAAGCAGTACAGAACAGCCAGATAAAATTCACAATTGTATTCCTATGCCCCCTACTCCACTACAGGAATCAACTGATATTTTCAAGCATGTGGGAAGAAAGACCATGATGCCTGTTATTCCGCTTCACCTTACAATTGTGGCCTGATACTAAAGAGTTAATAGAGTATAGATCATAGAATGTTTTCATTTGAGAGTAAAAGTCCTAATCACACCTGCAGCTACTCAGTAATTAAACAGGTCCTGTATTTTCAGAGGTTTTGTTTTGATAATACAATCTGATCTTTACTTCTCTTGTATAAAGCTGATAATGACTTTGTCATGTTACTTTGTTCTGTGATAAAGGAAACGATCTCCCCACCAAGAGACATCAATACTGCTTTATTAACCTTTTTTTAAGCACATGTACTCACCTGGACAATTGAATGCACTCCAACTGTCTGCATTGCTTGGCTTTCATCATCTGACGCAATAGCTACAAAACTAAATCCCCGGAACAGCTGATGCGCATTAGCACTAGGTGGGATACCAGGCGAATCTGAAAAACACAACACCTACTTAGAAGCAGAGTTTTAAAATGTAGAAATGAGATCATGTCTACTCTGAAAAGCAAACTACAGCTTTATGCTATAAAGTACACAGAAACTGGAATTTGCAGAAAGTGTTTCTGAGCACCAAAATATAAATAATTATTGCATTGCTTTACAGATAGCATCTAGAAACACAACTGATGATTAATGACTACAAAGCTATTGCTGTCAGACAATATTTTATTATACAAAAAACATTACTTTGCAGAAAATATTTGCATATAGAAGCATATTTCTATCTATGAAGTAGTAGTAGTACTCAAATTTTGGTAACACCCTGAATTTGAGCAGACAAAAATTTCTATCATATTTTGAATAGATCAATGTGGAACTATGCAGAGACAGATTCCATGGAACAGCAAATTTGCCACCTGAAGTCTGAAATGACTCAGCTTCTACATATACATAGTATGTAGAGTCACCATCAAGAGTTAAGTGAAGGCACAGAATATAGCCTTTAAACAGCTACAGACATGGATAACCTTTTTCTTTTTTAAATTAAAAAAGAGATTACTTAGGTAAAAAAAGTGAACTTAGGTGTATGTTTTGTTGCTGAGTACTTGATTTTTGCCATAGGACAACTCAGTTTTCCATTATATTTACACCAAAGATGGCAAAAACTTTTATGAACTTTGGAATACTTGTCTGTGAGCATTGACTTAGCCCACGACACCTAGAACAACAAGACACCTGACATATGCCGAATAGGAACAATATTTCTGATTTTTGAATATGTAAATTGTTTAATTCTTCTCTTTTTACCTTTTGGAGTTTTTGCTGTAAACTCAGGGTCAAAATAAAATGTATCTTCAGGTCTGCCAGTTGCAGGTTTAAAAGGGGGATGAATTTCTCTCCTGTACAATTTCTGAAGAGAAGGCATAAGCCAGAGTGAATTAAACAGTTATAAGACATCACCAAACACTTCAAGAAATTTACTAAATTGATTTTTAACTAGATACTCACATTCCAATCTATTTTGGAAAAGAATGCATGCCTCTTAATTTCTTCAACTCCATCTGGACCCGCTCCTTTTATAAAAGAAGAAAAACGTCCATAAATTATTTTCTTCTTGGTCAAAAGAAAGATGAGCAAAATTATATTTGTAATTTCTTCTGCATCAATTTTAGATGTATGGCTAGCAGAAGTGATAGTATTTTGTTGATCATTAGAAAAGCAAACAGGCAAACTATGTTCTTACTTGAAAACCTATTTTACACAATAAACTGTACATTTAGTCAGTTTAATGATCACTGATTTCACCAAGATTTTAATTAAACTTAAAATACTCTGCTAAACACTTTACCTAATCTGTTTGCTGGGTTTCTTTTGAAGAGCATTCGCAGAAGACTCTGTGCTTCGGGACTCAAGAACTGGGGCATTCCAAGTTTTGCCCTATAGAACAAAAATAATTAATAGCATACAAACATTTTTAGGTAAGAGTTAACTCCACATTCCCCCTTTCCTTTGTCATTCAACAAATCCATATCAAACAAAAAAAGCATCATTGAGAAATTGCCTTCAGACATCAGAAGCAGAGCAAAAGTGCTGTCAGTCATGTAAACCTGTAATTTCTCTCCCCCCCACCCCCTTTTGAGTAATACAATATTTTCAGTCATGACTCAGGAACTTAAGTAGAGGATGAGGTGGTAAAAAATGTGGAGAAGAATAGTTATAGGATAACAGTTTACCACCTTGTAAATTTTAATAATACACTTTCATCCACTTTTAAGTCCAGTTATTACCAAGTAACACCAAACAAGCAAATCCGTTCTGACAATAAGATAAATAGACATTTTAGAAGGGGTAAGAACACTAGAACAGTATGACATACAGCAAGAACACTTAAGCAAAACAACAGGAAACCTAAGCTAGAATGTAGAACAGGTAGGTAGAACAGATCTTGCAAGATTAGCAGGTTAAAAAAAAAAAAAAAAAAAAAAAAAAAAAGAGAGAAAGAGAGAAAAAGATTGCTCCCTTTTCTTTCTCCCCTCCTCCCCCCTTTAAATATTACTTTAAAACTTGCCAGTTTTGAATTTTTAAATTTAAGTTTTTGTAGTTCAGTCATTTGATTTTGTTTTGTAATCCTCACCATATTTTTCTCTTCTCCATTTAATGTTGAGCCTCCATCCTCCCACTTTTTCTTACGAACATGGTAATGGTAAGCATGGGTACATCCTTTCCATCTCTTACTTATCTGTAGCTTGTATTTCTCTGTAAGAATTTGTGACACAAGCTTTCTCAGTGTTTCAACCAGAACACATGATTTGGCTTGTGTTCCAGCTACTTGTAGATGCCCCCCTTTGTGTCACTTCAGCATGTGCATACACATTGCCATTGATTTACTATTCATTACTTTAAAACTAGGATTTACTAAATTTTCTATTCCTTTCAGCATTAAAGAAGCCAGGGCCAGGTGTGTGTGTGGGAGAAGCCTGAAATACTTTGCCTTCTTTGAGCTCTTCAATAATACTCTACAGGCAGATCAAGACCAACAGAATGAAGGAATGGGCAGTGAGCAGGTCATCCAGTGCTTCCCCAATTGCAATGTGCCACTAGCAGCTGAACTGTTACTCATGCACTTTATATGCAGTGATTTCATTGCATGTTCACTTGATGTCATTTCTGCTCACAGCAAAGTATCACAGAGCTGTAAGAAGGCAGCAAGGAACACAGTGTCTGCAGAAACACAATGGTACCATTTACAATGTTACTGAAGGATAGAGAAAAGACGTGAATATGATAGAACTGTGCTGGAGAGGGTGGAAATCTTTGTCCTATTATAATCCAAAACAGCCCCAACAGTAGGATACAGCCCTGGAGGTTCAGCATGAGAGGTCAACTGCTTCAAAAAATCTAAAACCAGGCCAACAAAAAACGTAGCTGCAATTAATCTTACAGAGAAATGACTCAATGAACAGAAACAGAATATGTAGAAGAAATTCTAAAGGACTGGTATGTACTGCAGTCCACAGTGGACTGAATTGGAGGCCCTTATGCAAATCACAATTAAGACTGTCATTGCTCCTTTTCTATCATGAAGGAGCACATTTCACAAAATCCTTTACTGGCCGTGTGACATGTCAGAAGAAAAGGCAATTTGCCAGGTCCTCAGTTCTTAGTTTAGACAACTACATGAGTGACAGCATTTTTTTTCTGACATTCCTGATGGATGAAGACAAAATTTTATATGAAGGCATTCCTCTTCAGTAAAGAGGAAAAGACACTTTAATAAGTTAATGTTACTGCTGCAAACTACAATTTCTTCAAATTGCCGAGTTTCTCAGTTTTAGGTAAAACATACAAGAATAAACAGAATCTTGTCTTGGTAATGATGTGAGAAATAAGGGGCCCAGAAAAACATGTGTTGTAAGACAAATACATTTTCTGCAGATTTTCAGGAAAGGAAGGTAAAAAAAGCAATATATCATAAATGATACACTATGACAATATGAATTTGTATGCACACCTGTCCATTTTAAACAGTTTTATGAAAAATTTAAGGAGAAATATAGCACTTTTACTAGAATACAGAAAATAAAAAGAAAACATTGCCATTCTTACAGGGCTAGACAAAAATGTGAACCTATCAGAAGACTTTAAAATATCTTCTGTTTTTCAGCTGTTTGTGCTACCAACAGCAAAATAGATTTATATATACATAATAATTTTAAATGTACAGAACATTAAAACAGGGGTAAAAATTCTTTACTCATACCACATTTACTCATACCACATAGCAACTCTCTGAAACTAATAGCAATTATAAAGACTAGAAGATGAAAAAAGAAAAGTTGAAAAGGTAATTAAGAGATGCATGCTCAGATAAAATCTGAAATTATAGAATAGTTTAGGTTGGAGAAGACCTTTAAGATCATTGAGTCCAACCATTAACCCAACACTACCAAGTCCACCATTAAACCATGTCCCCAAGTGTCACATCTACACATCTTTTAAATACCTCCACGGATGGCAACTCGGCCACTTCCGTGGACAGCTTGTTCCAGTGAAGAATTGTTTCCTAATGTCCAATCTAAACCTCCTTCAGTGCGGCTTGAAGCCATTTCCTCTTGTCCTACTGCTTATTACTTGGGAGAAGAGACCAAACACCCCCCTCACTACAACCACCTTTCAGGTAGCTATAAGACAGCGATAAGGTTTCCCTTGAGCTCCTTTTCTCCAGGCTAAACCCCGCACAGTTCCCTCAGCTGCTCCCCGTAAGACTTGTGCTCCAGTTTCGTTCTCCTTCTCTGGACCTGCTCCAACATCTCAAAGTCTTTCTTGCAGTGAGGGGCCCAAAACTGAACACAGGATTTGAGGTGCAGCCTCACCAGTGCCAAGTACAGGGGGATGATCATTTCCCTAGTCCTGCTGGCCACGCTAGTTCTAATACCAGCCACGATCCTGTTGGCCTTCTTGGCCACCTGGGCACAAGTTGGCTCATATTCATTCGGCTGCTGACCAACACCCCAGGTCCTTTTCTACTGGGCACCTTTCCAGCCACTTGTTCCAAAGCCTGTAGCGCTGCATGGGGTTGTTATGACACAAGTGCAGGACTCGGAACTGAGGCTTGTTGGACCTCATATCATTTACCTCAGCCCAATGATTCAGCCTGTCCAGATCCCTCTGCAGAGCCTTCCTATCCTCCAGCAGATCAACATTCCCATCCAGCGTAGTGTCATCTGCAAACTTACTGAGGGTGCACACAATCCCCCCATCCAGATCATGGATAAAGATATTAAACAAACCTGGCCCCAGCACTGAGCCCTGGAGACACCACTTGTGACCTGTCACCAAGTGGATTTAACTCCATTCACTACCACTCTTTGGGCTATGAATGACTATGAATGTCAAGTAACTGCAGAGATGCAAGGTGGACATTCTACAGAGCTGAACAAAAGATTTTTGTATCAGCAGTGAAACACTGTTAAGGAACAAAGTGGAGTCACATGCAAGCAGAGGAAAGAAGAGAAAGGTATGACTTGTGTGACATGCACAGAAAAAAAATAATTCACGGCTCCTGAAATGAGAGTGTAGTTGAACTATCTCAGACTAGCTTCTTGTAAATAGGAGATGGTCATAAGGAGTTTATGCTAACTGTGAGCAGGTAAATCCTTTTAGTTAAAAACATTCTATAATCACAACATGATTTGAATTAGCATGGTATTGAGGCAGCAGAAGAAAACTAAATACATTTGCAAATATGAGGAAGAAAAACAAGTGTAAAGAGTAACATAACGTATACGCATTATGAAAGCAAAAGCAAGGAAAAGAATGAGTTTGTTTTCTACTGGTTTTCACATTCTAATTACTTAGAAAAAATATGGAAGAATTACATACATTTACTTTTCAAAACAGGCTGTTGATGCAAAAGAAATGCTGGCTTCAATATATAGGTAGACAAGTGCTAACAGGACTAAGAACAATGACAAACTATGAAGCAGAAAACTAAAAGAGTTTTATGAGCTTTCATGGGGGAAGGTGTGTGTGTGTGGAAATGGTATTAGTAAAAAATGGGTGGAAAAAGAGAAGTGAAACTATGATGAGGAAACAGCTGTTTGCACAGTGTTAGTCTACAGTCCCAAAAGCGGGACAATTATGTCATAGGTTGTATTAGTTCAAAGAATATGTAGGGGATCAGCAACGGAAAAAAGCAGGCCTTCATTAGCAAAACCAGGAACATTGACTGCATGAAGGAAAACAACTTTCACGATATAGCTAATATACAATCTATACTGGAAATAGCAAAGGGGAAAATTGGAGCTTGGGCAAGTCATAGAGGAGTACATAAGGGAGGATGCACTTTAGCAAATACAGGAAGTATCAGGGAAGCAAGTTGTTGGCAGCACCACTAATCCAAAAAAGTAGGGTGAAGAGCTGGTAAGGTAAAGAAGGGTAAGGAGAGAAAATACTTTCTTAAAAAAAAAAACAAAAACAAAAACAACCCCCCCCCAAAAAACAACCAACCAACCAAAAAAATAACCAAAAACAAACAAAAAAAAACCAAACAAAAAAACCCCCCAAAACACACCAACCCCCGCCCCCAAAAAAACACCCCTCACACCACCGAAAGAAAAAAAATCACTCCCCCCCCCCAAAAAATAAAATCAAAAAACCCCAAAAACCACCCACAAACCAAAATCCTAAACCAAAAACCAAGTTAAAAATGCACAGGTTATCAAAAAGGATAAGAAAGTTAAAAAACATTATGTAAATAAGATGGGAAAGATCACATGGTGGGAGAAGCTATTAAAGATTAAAGAGCTGCTATGAAATTCTTTGTACCTGGTATGGGGGAGGAATAGAAAGGCAAATTAGATAGGCAGCAAAGGGAATCAATAGTATGGAATAGGGAGTGAGGATTTACCAGTACCTTTGGAAATGAGGGAAGAGTAGAAATTAGATATTGCAGCCCGGAGGAATACCTGATGAGATATATAAATAAGAGTGTACTCACTTGAGAATCATAGTCATGGTTTCTTTTCTGTCTTTCCCTTGGAAAGGTAGAGTACCAGTGAGCATTTCAAACTGTATAGAGTAAAACTTTCATCAATTACATTACCTGGACAAAATCTAATTTTTGTCAAAACTACTTAGCATCTTAACCTTCCAAAATTCATGCATGTTAACAATCAAGCCTGTGCAAAACACCTTCTCATTGTACAATTTAAATTACTATGAACATTAAGCAGCCTTTGCCACTTTTAAAGCTGCAAAATTTTTTCCTGTATTGGTACCTTGCTTTACATGCTTTTATCTGAACAATTTAGACTACAATGTTCTGTGTTCTGTTCCTTCCCAAAATGTTAATTCTTGGAAGACTTGATCTATATAACTGTATTTTAGTTTTCAAGAGTGGGGGGTAGGGGAAAAAGACTCCCCTTTCAAAAGTTAGTGATGATTTTTCCTCATGCAGAGATACTTTAAAAAGTCAGAAGTTTTAAAATTGGCATGTACATAGCCTTCACTGGAAAGGGGAAAAAGGTTAGTTGATTGACAAAGACATGCATGATGAAAAGTGGTTACTGTATGCATACAGAGGAAATAAAGCCTGAAGGAACATGTAAGAGCTACAAAGTACATGCATGCACATTCTACAGTGCCTGGAAGTAGGCAAGAGACACTGTTAAAATACTGATTTGTTCTGAAAGCGACTGAGTAAAAATAGATAAATATAAAAGCTCTTCCTTTGGGCTGCAGTGTACTGCAGGATTCTCAGATCTAAATGAGGAAGTGAAAGCAGTCTGGCAGCAGTCACAGCAGCCAACAGTCTGAGGCAGAAATCCCAATTTTTGGTTTAAGAATTACAAAACAATTCAGTTTAATGAATTTTCATGGCATACCTTTAAAGCCATTAAAATAATGATAAAGGAACCATCTGAGCAGCTCATGCAAACTTAAATCATCCTGACCACAAGGTATCCTTTATTCCCCTCTTTTCTGGTACCAATCAAACATTCAGCCTTGTAGGCACTAAAAATATACATGGATAACTTGAGTGAACAACTTGCGACTTTAGCGTTCTTACATCTACAGTAAGAGCATTAAGTTGCACTAACAGCATTCTTTAAAACTCCTTATTAAAATAAAATTTAAAATTTCTTACTACCTTATGAAGTATTCAGAGAATAACAGATGCCAACTCTTCACTACTGCCAGACACTTTTTAATTTTTTTTGGATATATATACTTATATTTTATATTTTAAATTTAATAATCCAACATGAAAAAAACATGCTTTTAACTTTAACAATTCTTATGATAGTTGTCAGGAAGATAAAAGACAGAAGCCAAAACTATAAAAAAAATCATCTTATGTTTGGTTTTAGTTTAGAATGATTCTCACAAATTTTACTTATAAAAATGCTTTTCTAAAGTTACATTTATAGAGATGTATGTTTCACTTATACTTGCTTGAAATAAGAAGTTTCTTTACCCAGCTTCTACTTGCCACTTATGCTAGTAACTCGGCATATGTGTTCTGTGTGTCTGGGCCCCTTCTACCCCCCACCAAATACTATATTCCAACATCAATAGGCCAGTAGTACTTTATGAATAAGCCAATATTGGCCTTCCCTAGTTACCGTCTTTTATTTCATCCAGAGAGTACCTCAACAAATACATAATGCTTCTGAAAACTTTTAAATCAATGTTTTCAGATAGCCGGTATCCCCTAAAACAGTCATAGTTTTAAAGGACAATTTGGAATATAATTCTCAAGGATGGTGTAAGCATACTTAGTGTCTAGCAGCAGGAGAAAAGAGGCCAAATGATTTTTTGAGATACCTTGCTAATTTCTGTTTCTGTGCTATAACTTCTGTCCAATCTAGATACCGTGTACTCATACCACACCAACAACCACTTGAATTCTCAATCAACACAGATTCTAATTAAGAACGATTTAAGAGTGGATACATAAAGATTGTCTATAAAAATTACCATGCAAACAAGAAATGCAAGCAACCAAAATGTTTCAGAGAATACTGTGTTGTATTCAGTATACTAATCTGAAAGTTTGCTTTTTAAGGTTGTATTTTTGTATTCAAAGTAGAAGCCAAAGTGTTTAAAATGCTGGACACTTAAGACTGTGAAAGCTACACCAGTCACATCTAACATCCTTCAGCAATTTTCAGTTTTAACATACACACTTCATAAGCACAAAGTTATATTTTACAGCTTTATAAAAGAAAACTGAAGTTTACTATGTTTGTGTTATCGACAACAAATTTTCTGCAACTACACTAGTTATTTTTTAATTGTGATCTTTTAATTGTGTTCTTACTGGTAAAATGTGCACTTGTGAGGGTGTATGTGTGTGTGTTTGTCTCAAGTGAGTTTAGTTACAAGGTGCTACTTTTACATAGTCAGTTTTCAGATCACAACAGCATTCTAGATGATTGAAAGGTGACAGGATGACTTATTTTCAGACACAAGAGTCCTTATGACAAAGTGCATGTGTTAGTTGTACTGTTACAGTCATATATAGCAGAAGCAGTAAGAAACAAACATTTCCTTTACAAATACAATTATTTAATCTTTATGTCAAAAAGGCACACGAAGATTATAAATATTAAAAGTCATTCAGCGTTCCTAAAGTATCAAACATGATCTATTTTTCTTTTCCAAAGCCATATTTGATTGACACATTATTTCCCCCTACCCTGCAACTTCATAGGAGTTAACTCCTTGCAGAAACACTGTAAGCAACTGAGCAATTATATCCCTGTATCAGCTCAGAGCTATTTAGATTATTTTGATGTGGGAAAGCAACAGCAGTCATTTCCCTGAGTTGCAATTACACTGGAGACTAATTAGAAAGTTACCACTCATTTTTTTTTCCACTTGAGAATAAATTCAGATTTAAAATTGGGATCTAAATTTCTTCCCTGCCTTGGAAGAGATAGTATTTTTGCTGTGTACTTTAGTCTCTAACATTCAAGCTACAATAGATGCATAGTATTTCAATTCAACGATAACAAAAATATGGCATATTGTTGGTGTTGATATGAGACCTAGCCCATGTTCTGGATCCAAACTCTGTGGTATTGTTATTAATTTCATATAATTTAGACATCCTCCGTAGTTAGAATTCATTAAAAGCTCACCTTAGAGTTCAATGTTTGATTTGTTTCACCAAACCTTGCAAAGCACAGTTTTGCTATCATTTGCATTTACCAGAAACCTACCATTAAAACACCAAAAGACCACCAGTCTGCACTCTGTGTATGGCCTCGTCTATTAACGACTTCTGGTGCCATATATTCCACTGTTCCACAGAAAGAGTAGGCTTTTTTTTCATGATCAATTGACTCCTTACTTAAACCGAAATCTGGAAGGAAAAATAAAAATAGTTCTAAATGTAATTTTTTTTTTAAATCACTCATCATTAATACTTTTACCATAATGTAAAATGCAATGCTTGTATCATTTGTATATACATCCAAATACACATAACAGACTTAGAGAATTCTCCTTCCCTCCCCAAATTATCACAGGTTCGTAACATCCGATATAATTATAGAGCAGCCACTTAAATATTTACATATGTCATTTATTTCAAAGTAATTACAGTATTTGCTCCACAGAATCCTACTGATCAGTTAAAATCACTTATTTTACCATACTGGTTTACTGGGAAAAAGCAAACAAACAAACAAAAAAACACCACCCCACCCCCAAAAAAAATATTTTATGCTGAACAGAAAAGACCCAGGTGTTGCAATTTCCCTTTATTCACCTGTCAATTTGATATGTCCTTCCTCATCAAGCAGGATGCTAAAAAACAATAAAAAGAATAAAATAAACTAGTAAGAATATCTTCTGAATGTTGTTTGAGACAATGTACTGACAACATTTAGGAATAAACAGAACAGCATACTATCATTTCAAAGGGTGCTGACCACTCCAAATAACAACAAGTAATAAATATTCTCATGCTGCACCAAAGGATAGGACCCACAAGCCCTATACTCAGAGCAGGTCTCGTGCTTCCGCCTGTTTATTTCAATCACAAAAAAGGCCACGCTTCTCCAAGATGCCAACTACCCTTCACCACCACTGAATATAACTGCAATTCAAAGCATGCAAAGTATTCAAGAACTGGACTCTATAACACCACCTACACAGCAGACTTACTTCCTCCAGCTTCTCCTGCGCGGAGCTGTGTTTCATCCTGAGAATGAGACATGACCCAGGCACACACTGCTTGCCCATTTCCTCTGCCCTTCCCTTTTCCTCCTTGCAGTTGCCATGGTAGGAAACTGCCCCACAGTACAGATACAGCTTACAGTGAAAGTTACTGTCTCATTCATAACTTGTAAGAAACTTCAACCTTTGATAGGTTTTTTTAAACCAAATACATCCAAGGCTTAAAACCAAATAATTAAAACAAATCAACCGACCAACCAAAACCCCACAAAAACCCAACCAAATTAACACAAAACCAAAAAACCCCAGCCCAGAAACAAACACAAAAGCCCCTATATTTCAGGCTGTAGCTATTTAGTTTTCTGACGACTACTATTTCATTCTTTTCCTTCTGGAAGTAAATGTTAGCGAAGTAACTAAAGTTCTCTTGCTTTGCAATTTAATGATCTTTTTCCACTTGGTAAGCTTATTTTTCCTCACTTCAGAATTACTTAACAGAACACTCCCAAAGCTTGAACACCATTCTGTGTTCATTTGTAAGTGCCAACTCATGCCAAAAGTCCCCAGCTTTCTGATTTGAGTATGAATATTTCCCTTCTTTTTAGTCAGGGCTAAACATTTTAAAATTTGTGTCTTTTTCCCATGAGATGCACAAAAGAACAAGCTATCCTAATGGAAGTTCCACAGAACAACCAAGTATCACAGGTTCTGTGACACTTGTTACTCATATTTGCTCTTTTCCACAAATCTTTTACATGAGACAGTTATCTCACAGACTTTTCAGGTTCTCCGTATAGCTGTAACAGGGAATAATGATCACCAAAGACATCAGGACTTCAGAGTTACAGATTTCCTGGCAATGAGGCAGAGTATATTCAACTATGTGATTAAGCACAACAGATATGCACACATTACATTGTCACTTAAATTCCCCTCCAGGCAGAGGGTAACGCTACAGCATACATTTATATCTGAAAGGCTGAAATGTTCCAGATGATAGCACTGACATTTTCTGCTTTAAATCTTCTAAAACTATATTAAAAAAAAAATTACCGGAGGAAAGACATAAAAAGGAGACAGAATTCCGTCATTTAAATGAAGCATAGATGACTAATATACTGAGACACAACACCATACCAGAACTGTAGCTTCAAGCTTATTTTAAGTTTTCAGTGTAATTATGTGATCATCAATATACTAAAAGCCTGTGCCTTACTATTTTCATATTTTATTTTAAAATTTAAACTCCATTCTGCTATTACTGTAGTCCATTCCAAAACTCAGTGTTGGGAAAAAGTAGAACCAACAATGTTTGTTGTTAGGCTTTCAAACGCCAAAGAGAACAAAAAACATTCAACTCTAACTTTGTATCATGCATTTGTTCTAAGTTTATTTCTAGTCCAGAAATTCTACAATAATGACAAAACGAAAAACCCAAGATCACCTCTTCCCCATTGCATACTTTAAACCACCTGGAAAATGCAAGGTAGGAATATTTCAGTATACTCATTACTTAAAGTAGCATGGATGTATTTGGCATATCACTCAAACTAAATGCTCATGTTCCAGTAGAAATGAAATCACAGAATGGTTTGGATGCGAAAGGACAAAATTCAACCTTTTTAATTAAAATAGTCCACTAGCTTCCCCCACCTCCCTCTCTCTGTTCAGTTTACATAATAAATTACTGAATTTTAAGAGCTGCAAAGAGAAGCGCATAGGTAGAAGTGCAACAGAAATCAAGTTAATACACTGCAGTTGCTGCAGAGCAGTCTTACTTTTCTGGTTTTAGGTCCCGGTATATTATTCCAAGACTATGTAGATGGTCTAAAGCAAGTGCTAATTCTGCCAGGTAAAATTTAACATCATCTTCTGTGAACATCACCTGAAAAAGTAAACCAATGTATTTGACATGAAAAATCTGTAAAGCTTACACCGGCATCAACCAAGCAATGGGAACAGTGGTTTTGTAGAATGGTTCTTCATAATACTTTAACTAATTTCTATACAAATCCCATGAAATTCCAATTTCCTGGTTAGATAAAACTAGGACTTTATAATTAATACTATTTTACAGTACATTCCTGAAAAAGAACTTCTGAAGCCAATATATTATTTTTTTTCTGCAAAACTGAGGTTATTTGCTTCTGATTGTTCAAGAGAACCGACAGACACATTGAAGTGGCTCTGAAATATATTGGGAAGTGTTTAAAGAAAGTGACTATGTCTTAATTGGATGTGACCATTTCAATTCCAGACAACAAATAGACCAAGGAAGTTCAAATGCCTTAATTTCATCTACAAAGTCAGAGGCACAAGAGGAGCATATTCATCTTGGTTTTGAGAAGTCTGTCTCTAAGTACTGTGAAAAATAAGTTACAGTGATGATAAAGCCCCTAACATGCAGTCTGAGATGTAACTATAGAAAAGGTAGAGAAAAGAGAAAAATAAAGAAATAACCTATGTAAGAGCACAGTTAAGATCTCAAGTAGCAATGCCATTTTTCTGTTGGGAAGACAAACTAATTCCTGTTTACATTCAATGAAAATGTTGTGCCAATTATATCAATAATTGTTGTTACACACTGACAGAAAACATTACAATATTTCTGAGAATTTAGAAAAAGAGGGAAAAACAATCCTTCACGATTTGATTTTACTGCAGTTACTAACCAGCCTCCCCCCCGCCCCCTTTTTTTTTACTTGGAATGTAAGACTAGTATTTTTAGATACAGCGTATGGACCTGGGAAAAAAGAATGGCAATGGGGAGCACAGATGAACATTACATTAAGCAAGAACTAAGAATGTAGAACAGATTTTCCCTTCATAGCTGAAAGGCAGAAAGCGGTATCAAAGCTTGTATAAATGGTTGTTGCTGATGTTACTTTTTCAAAATTGCTAATATTTAGTACAGGCACATTCAAGCAGCAAAATCTCTGTAAGAAACATTTAAAAGCTCAAACAGTGAAAGATCCCATGAGCATGATAAAACACCCACACATAGTGTGGGTGTTCTTTATAAACACTGCATGGAATTCATCCCTCCTAACCTTAAACATCTGCAGTGTATACAACTAGCTCTGAATAGACCACTTCTCCCTTTGTAGTCAACAGGGAAAAAGCAGGGACTTTAGGCTGCAGTTCATCTAATCCATTTTAAAAAATCACATGAATTGATATGAGGATGACATTAATTGCATCCAACTTGCATTTCACTCCATCAGTTATGAACAATTCACTCAATTTAAGGTACCTATAATGAATATTTCTTATCCAGCCATATAAAAATCTACCAAATTTGAGTGGCTGAAGATGAAAAAAAGTCATCAGCAGGATAGTGATATACATTGATTCTTGGGAATCAAGAAAGAACTATGAATTTTAAGGGGGGGGAAAAAAAGGTATCTCAGTTTGAGAGTACTAATAAATTTCTGCTTTATCCATGGCAAAAGAAACTAAAAGAAGCAGCTTGAAACAGATGGCTTCACTGAGTTAAATGTAATAAATTATGTGGTCAGCACATATACGACAATATACTCATACACAAAATACACTGCATTCTTCTCTCATCTTAATAACCATACAGCTTCGTAGTGGTGACCCAACTGTCCCAGATACTCTGTAGCAAGGGAAAAACGGAAAGCAGCTACAACTACAAGTTATGGCTTCCAGATAGATATATTTATATTTCTATCCTACCACATATTTGCTGGAAGTTTTTGCACGAGTGATGGGAAAAAAAATCAAATCTGATCTACAAAATGTCAGCATTTATTTTAGAAGTTATAATAAAATTAACGCATTCAAACTTTTTGAAGTCATTATTTGACATATTTACAGAGATAGCATGATGGAGGCAGTGTTCATGTTTGGAAAATTACTAAAGTAAGTAGAATAAAATTCTTGCTTTTTTAATATTTATAAATAATGTAATTTCATGTTCAAATGCAAATAATGGAAAAATATCTGACACTGGATTCTGGATATTAAAGCCAGTCATAAATCAGTTAATTTTAATACAAGTACATTGTATAAATCCATCTGAAGACATGGTGGCAATAAGAGAAGAAACTCTTGCAAGGTGTAAAAACCAGCAGAGAAAGACTGCTTGTCTGAGCCTTTTTTCAGAAACAATGTAAATTACCAAGAGCATTTTCATGGAGTGACTACTTCGCGCAAAGAAACCCTAGACGGTTGAAAGAAGATACTAAAAATTCTATTCAATGAAAACTGAGTTTTAAAAGTAAACTCTCCTAATATAGGCAATTTACAGTAAAATTTTACCCATAGGCAATTTTCAAATTAAAAAAAGTTTACCTCTTTGGATAAACGTGTAAACAAGTCTCCTCCCCTGAGAAAATCCAGAATAAGATATAGCTTCCCTTCTGTTTGAAAAGCTGAAAAGATCAATTAAAAAAAATTAAACATATTTTAATTTTACCCATGAGCAGAAGAATAACCTAACAAATAATTCACCCTTATTTTCATTGTAAAAATCGAATTCTTCTCTTTCCTTTGTGGAAAAATTTGTTTAAATGAACTGAATAACTGTTCCCCTATCATAGACCAAATAACTCCCATGCCAAGTGAAAGCAAAGCAAGTCATCAATGGAATTTGTAAAAAAATAAGCTATACTTAAGTTAGTTCCAGATTTTGGAAGTAAAAATCCTAGATTTAAAAGGGCAAAATAGTAACCGATGCACATACTCCAAAACCTCTAGAAACATTGCTTAACAGGAAGATCTAGTCTAGTGTGCAAAAGAGTGGCAAGTAAAACAGTAAAAGTCACATTATTTAAGCCACATCACAGTGACAGAGATCTGAGGTTTGAACTGTAGGAAAAACTGGATCCTAAAAGAAAAACATAAACTGACTCCCGCCTCCCCCAAACCAAAACCCAACAGAAACTGTTCTCTTTTTTCAGTTTACTTTCTGCATAACATGTTAAGAGTACTGATCCCCTCTCCAACAACCCACATCATCCTCCCCCTCAAAAAAATTTTATGGCTGCCCATTCTATTAAAAGGCATATTCCCACCAATTTTGACGCAACTTAAAATAATGCCATTGTGTGTTTCCTCTAGAGTAAATAAAGCAAGGATAAGAAATAATTTAAAAAGTGAGTGACACATACAAAAGGTAAGAGGTTTTGGAAAAGAATGGCTAGGCATAAATAGATAACTGCTTTTTAGTAACACTAAGGACTACAGACACTCAGTCCTATGAATATTTAACACTGTGCATGAAGTCAGCCATGGACTTTTTATATGAGAATTACTACACAAGAAGTCTCTGTGCTATCAGGATTTAGACAGCACACTAATTTTGTACAATTCTCTGAACCACAAAGCAAGTATCAGGTACTACCTTGACAAGCACCCATTTTTACAATATAAAAATGATTTTTTCTGCAACTCACCATAGTGTAACTTGACAATAAAAGGATGGTTAACTTCTACTAGGATATCACGTTCCATTTTTGTCCGAACCCGATCTCGAACTACAACAGAACATGAGCAAGATTTAAAAAAATAAAAAATAAAAAATTTTACATTATGAATCAGTATTTTTCCTGGTGTACTTCACATTGTATCCCCTAGTATTACAACTGTCTGCAGGTCACTACACTTTACACAGAAAAGATTAAAGAGATAATGTATTTCACAGTGCAGAGTTTTCTGGTAAATCTCTTCATGCATCTCAATTTGCTTCAGTTTCTGTTATTGGGAAAATGTGACACTGGGTAAATAGACTTAACAAAAGCACATGAGAAAACATAACCATCCTTCAGTCTGCCCTACATTTAGTTAACCTTTAAAACAGTAGAGCAAAGCTGCCACAGCTATGTGCAGAAAACAGCTATTTTCTTAGCTATTTTCAACTGTTGAAAAGTGGGGAGGGAAAAAAATTACACCAAACCAATCTTACAACATAAATACAACTATACTATCATAAAGATATTGGTTTATATTGGTTTCACTTATTCAATTGTTTTAGCTCATTCAAATAACTTGTACTGTTCAGATCTTAAGTATCTCCACAATTCGGAAAGGTTTTTTTTATTTCCTTTCTTTTATTATGGACTTACAATAAAAAGAGTATCCATTGAAGGTGGTGTGTATTTCAGACAATCTTTTTGATCTTAAAAATGTACTGAGAGCAAATGTGTGCATGGAGAAGTGTATTAGACATCAGAAGCAGTTACTGCTGAAGCTGCCTGTCCTGTCCCACCATGATGTATATCATGTGCATATGGGGCTGGCAATCCATGAACACAGGCAGGATGATCAGCTGAACATGGCATCTGCTTCAGCTGTCCAGGCAACTCCCCTGCCACTTGTCAGTGCCTGGTTCCCATCTGAGGTTCCAAATCAGCCAGAACACAGACAAAATTCAGAACTCTCACAAATGAGAGCTAGTAAAATTTGCTACAGTGGTTTAAGATATTGCACTTCTCTTTCTTTCCCTTAATCTACATTTTGTTACTGCTCCTTTCTCAAACGTTACAACTTCTTGAAGGAAGCACCCCAGAGAAATGAAATACAGTCAAAAGTTTAAGTTGCTGGCATTCCTTGTACAGTTAACAAGCCAGAGTTCTCAGAGGTCAAAACATAATAAGGGAGCAAAAAACCAAAAAACAACAAAAACCCAAGAACCAATAGGATTTTTCAGAAGCTTAGTTATCTTTTCCCAGAAACAGGCACTTACAATAATATAGCTACTTGTGAAAAATTATATAGATACATTTTTATGAATGAATAAAACTATCAAATTTCCATCTCACTGCAGAAGAGATTCCTAAAAATGGCAGCACAGAAATAAGCGCTCACCAAATGCAGAGCAAGCATCACATTTGGATTTTGACCTTTACATCTAAAGTCATGAAAATGTCACAAGATAGTTGTGCAATTCCACTGTTCCAAGGGTTCATCTCAATTACTAAATCGAAATCCAGTATATTCTTTCTTTAGGCAGATTCAGTTGAGAAAAAACATTCAAAATACTTTTAAGTATAGCTATGCAACAGTTACATGGATAACAAACATGATTTCTGAGAAGTCAGAGAAACTCCAGATTTACAAGATCTCAACCAAAAAAAAGTATAAGGAACTGATTTCAGATATCAGTATTAGCCATTATCTGACTTAAAATCTGACTCTTGTTGACTATAGCTTCCATACGTGTACAGCTGGAATTACTGATTTTTCTTATTAGATTTGATGCCAGACTCTCTAGCAGTGATTTGGCCCTCTCTCTTCCCATCACAAAGGAGCACTGAAAGATGACATCTTCAATCAGAGTGTATTAATAAACTAGTCTCTGCACTAAAAGTTGTATATTGTATGTGTATATACTTGGATTTGCTCTAAAGATTGAAAGGGTGGACTGCGTAGTTACACCACAGTGTTCTGGCTAATATAGTTGCATTCCTATGAAAATATTCTCTCTAAATTTGATTTGTGAATCATCCACACCGCCTTCAATTAAGAAGCAGTCTTAAAGGGCATTTTAATCTTTAATTTTAGAACACAATAACTTTATGAAATACACTTGGAAGAGCTAAAGAACCTTAGACAAATCAAGTTATACACTGTATTATTTAAAACTATAACATTAGATCAAGTTATACACTGTATTATTTAAAACTATAACATTAGATCTCAAAATATGTTGCAATTATGGAAAAAGAATTCATTTAAATTGATTTCACATTAAGATTTCAACAGCAACCTTTATTTGCTTGCAACTTCACTCTTCCCAAAACATGAGTTGCAACCAGAAGATACTCAAAAGCATCTGAAAATTCAGATACAAAGTGTTGAAAATCGTGGCATCTCCCCACTAGCATCACCTTTCCACTCCAGCCTTTTGCATCCTTGTATTCCAAGTGCTTCAAAGAGTCTCATTTTCCAACCAAAAGTCAAGCTTTAATTTCAGTATTTATCAGTCTCTGCCATCTGTAGGCAAAACCAGATCCACAGCTTGGACTGTAATTTTTACATGTAATGTTAAAACACAATCAAAAGGTGATGTAGCGAAGCCCTCAGACGTCTTGAAAAAGCAACTGCTGAGTGACCTTTGACTCCAGTCTCAAGCTATTACAGGCTGGAGAATGAAAAGCTGCTGAGGATATCAAAGTACCTTAAATGAGTGGAAATCAATTTCAGAAAAATAGGAAGTAAATAATGAGAATAACACGCGCCACAAAACATAGAATCATCAAGATATAGGAAACTGTTCAGAAACACTTATACCCTCTGTAATAGTTTTAAGTGGAAGTCACATATAATGAAAATTCTGAGAGAGGTATTCAGTACTAGATCTCAAGCAGAAAAACTTCAGGTTCAACATTTTAGCAGAAGTTCACAATTCAATGTGAGTATTCATCACTCCATAAATACTTATATTCATAAATATAAGTATATGCATATAAATACTTATATTCAAAAAGCATATATTAAAATTGCAAATCAGTATAATAATCAACAACATAGATGAAGTACTGTGTTTGGAACTATCCCCAAATTATTATTGTAATTTCAGTGCAGTCAAGAGTTGAAGAACTACAAAGACAAAAGTATTAAAAAATGGCATAAAGCAATACACACCCTAACTAAGGGATTAGTATGAAAGATCACTTTACATTAATCTACAGTGAAAAAGATACTGTTTGTTTGGTAGGGTTGGTTTTTTTTTTTTTGTTTCATTGTGGGGATTTTTTTGTTGTGGTTTTTTTTCCCCCCTTCCCCTTATAGAATTCTCCAGGACAGAACTGAGATTGTTCAGGTTTAAACCTATTTTGTTACTCACACCATTCAAGACTAAAACCACACAAGGAACAAAACAATTTACAACTCTTTTTTGATCAAGTAACTCAGACGACTAACTTTAGATTTTATCAAATACAGTCTACATCCAGAAATAGCACCAAAATTTTTGGGAAAATGTACTGTATATTCCTGTTTTACAGAAACACTTAAACTCCTGCGCTTAGAACTTTTAGAATAAAACAGATGATATGATGCACTTTTAAATATCATGACCTAAATATAAACTGAGCAAAAGGCATTAACTGTATCCTTGGTGATACACAGCAAATGAAAAAAGGAAGGATATTAAGTTTCAAATAACAGCTCAGGAGCAAGTCAGGTGGCAGATGTAACACAACTACTCTATTAAACCACCACCACCGTCTAACGAATTTAGCATGGAAAGGAATCTACTTTCCCCTATAACTATCAATACAGTACTGTTGTATTGTACACCCAGAAGGATTAAGTAAACAAGGCAGTGTATTCTGCTATTTGCTGTTTGACAGAAGAAAGTTCTGAGACATAATCTGTAGAACATCATGTGTGTAAAGATTAAGTTTTTGTATAATGTCACAGGTTTGGGGGTTTTTTTGTTTTTTTCTCTAACAATGCTTACCTTTCAAGGTGGCCTTTTTCAATACCTTCATTGCATAAAGCTGTCTAGCATCTGATCCTGAGATTTTTTTTACAAGAAAGACCTGCATTGAAAATTAAAAAGAATTCTTAGAAGAAAATAAAGGCAAGTCAGATCCATATACTTTGTTATGAAATTCAAGTAGTCAGTATTATTTCAATGAAACTCAAACTCAACAGTTTTAGATTCTGCAAAGCCAAACAAAAATTTCCTTGCAATTTTTCCTACTATTTCTTCATTTCACAATATAAAAGGTTCTTTAAAGACAGTCTGCCAAATTAATTTTGGTTTAACTTAATTGATTTCAGTGAGTAAAAGAAAGTATTAATTTAGATTCTCTCAGAAGTTGAGAAAAATTTGAAACAGAAAATTCAGCCTTTAACTATTACTATCTAAATAGTTTTGTCTTATTAAAATTCGTAAGATAGCATAGCGAAAGTGTTACTAAAATAATTGTCAGATATGAAGATAAATGTATGTAGAAAAGTTGATCCAGAAAACTATATGAATCAATGCATAATGAAATAATTAAAAAACATATAAAATTATGAGAACCAACCTCTTGCATTGCAAAAACATTTTTTATGACATATTTAGGGTGAGTTTTGCACATACCAATAAAGAACAATCAGCCTCAACTTAAGTGTGTTTCATTTCCTTCTTCAGTGCAATGGGATCTCTTGAGTGGGATTGTTTTCTATATCCTTAATAGAAAATGAATTCTAGCAGAACCAATTTTTAGATTTAGATTTTTTTTTACTGGTTATTTACGTAAAAGCATATAGACATATTGTGGTATATGAAAATGTTAAATGTGTTATGTAAAATTAGTTTTGACCGGTTTTGTATCTAGTTCTCACTTATGTTAATATCCCTTTGCATTATCCAGAGATTACCAAAAAATCATCAAGAGACCTTGAAAAGCATGCAGAATTAGTCTTTTCAGACTGAATGGGAAGCAGTGACATCTTCCCAAATTGCTAGAAAAAAGGGATTATGTGTTTTGTAATATTATTCCTTTTTGCATAAAGGCTAAAACAATCGAGGACAAAACTGGCATTTTTGGAATACTCTGAGCGAGCTAGACAGTTAAATTATTTTTCTCTTCTGCACACCCCTCTTATAGCATTGAATTTAGTAATATCAACAAAATAAAAAGGATTGCTGAAATTATTTATTAGCTTAAATTTCCTTGCTCCTGATTTACTTTTCCTGACCTGAAGTTTTCCAAGTAAAAACTTGGTTATGATTCTGGATGAAGTCAAACATAAGAAATCACCTTTGGAATCAGGTTTCTCAGTGAATTCTTACCAGTTCGAGTATAAAATTTTACAATTTCTAGACTTCCAGATTTTAAGCTGAACTTCAACTGCTACTGCGATAACATGACTAACAGCAAGTTTCTACTACCAAGAGAGAATTGGACCGATTATTCTCATTTTCCCCCCTATCCAAGGTGGGTTTGGTATTATATGCTAGAGCTTAACATCACATTCAGAGTTACAGTTAAGGGTGAAATTGGATGTAATGGCTCTGTTGTCTTACACTGCATATTCCATTCTGTCTCAATGATCTGTCTTGCCACATGAAATTAATGTTTGCTGCAGAGCTGGATTTGAACAACTAAAAATATCACATACACCTAGTGAGATCTCAGTGCAGACACGTGTACAGTACTCACTACTGGCTAGGAACACTGAGTCTTTAACTGATCTTCAAATAAGTATCAAGGCACGTTGTGCCTTAACCAAATTACACAGATAATGCCTAGCATGAACATGACTAGGGCATATCATGTTTAATTCATCAGCCATTATTGCCTAAAATATGTTCTTTACAATTCCAAACTGCCACAAAAATAAATTCTGCCTATAGCTTCTGTAGTGGTGATGACCCACCATTAGCAAGATAACAACTAGGAATACTTATTAAAAAAAACCACCTTTCAACCCTCAAACACACACCACCACCCCCCCCAAACATAAGAGTAGTTACAGAAAAATGACATTCCATTTTAACAGTGAATACCCAATTATTTCACATCGAGCCAATTTTTCTATGGAACTTCAAGATCTACTTATCACACAAACCAGAAAAAAAAATTACTGTTTTATAAAAAGATCTGACACAAGTACAGTGGTTAGTTAGCACTAATTTAGAAAGCAGCTTTCACTTCCAAAACTGTCTTAATGCAAAACTGTGTCTGTTCTAAATATTTCAACTCCTAACATTAGTCAATGCTATGTTCCTGAACAATTTGCTCCACGAAAGTTCAGTTACCAACCTTTCCAAAGGATCCTTGTCCTAGTACTTTCAGAAGTTCAAACTGTGAAGGGTCTGCTTTCTCATGTCCTTCCTTTACATGGTGAGTTATTGCAATTTCTTTGATATTTCCTTCTTCCTGACAGAGGAAAAGAATGGAATGAATTATATTAGTGGTGTATCTTCCTAAAACGTTTACAAATTCCCAGTAAGCGGAAAAAACCAGTAACCCTGAATCTAATCAACTACATGCGCCCAAATGTAGATACACTGAGCAATGCTATTTGCATAATTAACACACACAGACACACAACAATTATATCTGTTACAAAAGGCAATATTAGTTCAGTAACAATGTGGCTTAAACTTTTATGGATGCATTAGAATCCAAACGTAACAGTGGATGATAAAAGTTGGCAATCCCAAAGCTTTTGTGCTGAGACCCATATTGTTTGGTTCATAATCTCCAATCCAGATTCACAACCCGTTAATGGAAACCAATCTTCTTAAGAATTCAGTCCTCTTAAAGCACACAGAGCGCACCAAATCAACCTAGGTTGGCAAAGCCCTCTTTTACACTTGAATGAGCACCACTATGCTGCAGCGATGCCAATGCTCACCTTTATATGACAGCATAAGACTCAAAACATTTCCATGCAAAGCAGCACACCCTCCACCCCCATTTCAGCAGCAATAAACTCTTCATCTGCCACTGAGAAAATTATTGTGATGAAAAGAATCATATTTGCTCTCTTACTGAAGAGAGACTATTCTACAAAAGCTTTAAGTCTTCAGCATTTCCCCTTCTGTCAGAAACTGGTCACCAGAAACCTCTAAAGCACAGTGGATCTTCTTGTCTTCTTGTGTTCTGCACTTAAGTCACCATTGTCTTGAAAATCCCCTGAAAAGCAACGCTCCCTGCCACACAAGGAAATAATTTCAGAACTTATCAGCAACTGTTCAGAAGTAAGTAAAAACCTGTATTTTTATCAATGCCATCTGAAGAACTACCTAGGTGTTACATGCAATCCAACCTAAGGAACGCTAAGTTAACTTCAATAATGCAAATATACTAACTTCAAGTTTTTGTGCAGTCTTTCTACTCCTTCTATGGCGATAGTGGATAAAATAAATCTGAGAATACTTTTCCTCTATTTAATGATGAAGTCTCAGATCTATTTCACCGAATTGTCTAGTTGAGGTTGAAAAGGACCTCTGGAAGTCATCTGGCCTAACCCTGCCACTGAAGCAGGGACACCTAGACCAGGACCGTGCCCAAGCAGCTTCTGAGTATCTCCAAGAATGGTGACGCCACAATCTCCCTGGGCAACCTTTGCCAGGGCTCAGTCACCTTCACAGTGAAAAAGTGTTTCCTGATGTTCAGGGGGAATCTTTTGTGTTTCAGTTTGTGCCCATTGCCTCTGGTTCTGTCACTGGGCACTGCTGTAAAGAGCCTGGCTCTGTCCTCTTTGCACCTTTTCCTTCAGGTTGGTCAGTTAAGAGTTCACCTTTGTGAATCCGAACTGACTAACCCCAGTTACCCTTTTTGTCCTTTTGTAGATGGAAATGGTTTCCAGGATTAGTTGTTCTACACTGTCCCAGGGGTGAAGGTATGACTGACCATTCTGTAGTTCCCTGTCTCCTCCTCCTTGTCTTTTTTGAAGATAGGAGTGATATTTGCTTTCCTTCAGTCCTCAGGCACCTCTCCCAGTCACTGTGATCATTGGAATCTAATCAAGAGTGGCCTTGCAATGACATCTGCGAGGTCCCTCAGCACCCACGTGTGCATCCTATTGGGACCAATGGACTTCTGTATGCCCAGTTTGCTGAAGTATTCTCTAGCCTGATCCTTTTCCATCAAGAGTTTATCTTCCTTTCTCCAGACTTTCCCTTTACCTGTATATGCCAAAATGTGCACTAATTGGTTCTGGTGATGGGGGAGTAGAGGCAGAATTCTAAAGCTTTGCTTCTGAAGCACTAATTTATATATTTTTCAAGTATTCAGCAAAATCTATGTGCATGAATTATTGCCAAAAATATCCTTTTGTATCCAATCATTTCAGTACCATGTGTGTGTGCACGGCAACTGTCCATACACATCAGCATGCTCAAACACACACTTCTCCTACATCAACATTTCTCTTTCAAAAATATTCTTTTTTTGAAAGATTCCACCAAAGTTGGAAACAAACTGCATGCTACAAATCCCGAGCATGCATGTGTGCCAGACTGTGTACATATACAAAAAAAATCAGCTGTACGCTTCGGAAGAACGCACGGATCATCCGAGCAACTTTAAAAATCAGAAGGTGAAAAAAACATATTTTAAAGACATTGTAAAGAACATAAACATTGTAAAGAACTTGCATTTGTTTTGGGTATTCTAAACCTAAGATGACCAATAAGGATAGATGCTAGTTTCCATTGTAATATATGCAAAATCTTGCATGTATGTGCATTTATGCATGCTGTGTACTACTCCTAAGAAACCTAAACTCCTTGCTCCCTTCAGGTGAAAATGCTACCATCATTAACTCAAGGCTGAATCTTCACAAAGTTTGAAAGAAATACTGATTCCTTCTATTTGTCAAGGGAACTATTTGCTGGCGGACATTTGTATTTTCATCTTTTAAATTAGTATATGTTCAGCTGCATTACATACTACTTAAACCACCCACTGCAATTTTAAAGAATCCCAGTGGAGGAATAGCACAGTAGAACAGATTGCCAAGTATTTTTACTTCAAATACTTTGTTCCATTTCTGCTTAACTGTTTTATCTATTAGCTCTCTAGCAATCTTGGCAAAGTGAAAAATGTGTGAAACAGAACTTCCTCAAATCTTTCTGTTATCTACTCAGACTCAGGGACAGAGTGATCAGGTAGACACACTGCTTTAAAAGCATCACAGAACGTAACAAAAACAAGAAATGAAGAAGAAAGATATCAACTTGTTCTCTATACACAAACAAAAATAATTTTTGAGCGCAACGCAATTATTATGCAACCAACTTTCCAGTGGTTATTTTGGGCACCCTCTAAAAAAAAAAACCAAAACAACAAAACAAACCCAAAACCAAACCACCACTTCACATTCCTCATACTAAGAGAATATTCCCAATCTTCACAGTTTCTCAGGGTTCAGATACACTTCAGTCTTTATAAGGCAGACCTTATACAACTCTTTTAAACAAAATGGAACTCAGGTAACTTTAGTAGCTTGTCCATTACATATGTCTGGGAGCAAGATTTATGACAGTTACCCACAAATGTGCAGTTTCCTTTTTTGACATAATTGACGAATGCTTGTTATTTTAACCTAAAAAGTATTCCACAAACGCAGTTAAAAATCTAAAAGTTAAAATCTTTTATAGAAATGAAAATTATATGCAGAAGTAATCAACTCTCACTGCACCCACTATCTACCTGAATTAAAATACAAGACTTTCACACTGTAGAAAGCGATCTCTTTCTCAGCCAACTGTACTAATTACATTAGTTGACAGATGTCATCTTACAGTAAGCTGGAAGAGAAGCCAGCTGTTCAGTTTGGTACTGAATTTGTCTTAAGCTCCACCTCTCATCATTCCCTGATATTTGGAAAAAAACCCAACATTGTGCCATGTGATGAATTCAAATCAAATGAGATTACGTATAGGATGCTGAAAGACTCTTCTCCTCCTTTCCATTCCCTGACAACTTTCACACCACTACAGATGCTCACTCACACCAATGATCTGGCTGCTGCAATGGTGTGATCTTCTTTACAGTTATAACTACACCCTACTGCCTGTACTTTATTTCTGTTATTTATAAGCTTGTAAAGCTCCCTTCTCTCAAGCCTTACACTGCAGCAGGATCTAAATAAAAGTCCCAAGACATAAATTTCTTTTTGTAGCCACACAAGTGTCTTACATCCTTCTTCACACTGCAAAGTAGAACTGTCACAGAAAGCACATTAAAAAAAAAAAAAAAGAAAAAAAAATTAGAACCCACCCCCCTCAACAACCCACCTATGTTTGTCAACTTACAGTGGTTGCTACTGGCTTCTGTTATCACGAAACTAAATATAGAGTACAAGCAAACAAACAGAAGGTAACATTACTCTGAGTTTCCTTAACATTTCCTTAACAGTATAATAGTGTTAAATCAACACTGGCCTAGAAAGGAAGTAAGTGACAAACAAGTATGGGTATGCATTTAAAACACCAGTATTTCAGAAAAACTTCCTGTACTGATACAGTTGGCAAGTCAGAACTATTCTGATAAGTATTCTCACTAGAATTAAGCTTTTAGCAAGGTTCACTCACAATATACGTCTATGCACAGGCATTCATACGTACATAGGAAAGAACACTGAATGGACAAATGGACTATATTCCACAGACAAATCAAATCTAGAAGAGAAAAGCTTAAAAAAAAAAAGAAAAAAGAAAAAAAAGGAGAGGGGCAGGGGCACAAGCACCAAGTGTGAGTAATTCTTCTCTTTAGAAATCAGCTGCAAATGAGAATAGAAAATATGCTTGTTGGGAAGAAAATAAAAAATAAAAAAAATAGGATGCACACCTTCTAGGCAAGCTGTGAAAAACTATTTAAGCATTAATAGGCTATAAAAAAACCCCAAAATTGTATTTTTAGGTACTTTATGAATACTAAATACTCGTTTTGTTCTAGAAATTGAATTTATGTGAATTTCTTTTATGTTTACATTTTAATTCAAGACTAAACAAACTCTGCTGTAACATAAAATACCTGTATTTGTTTCCTAGATCTTATTACAGGAACAGCTAGATAATGTATTAAAAGGAAACTGGACTTCAAACCCTTAAGGAAGTTGAGCAGAAGAGCCTTATTAGGTAAGTATTTCTCGTTAGTAAGGAAAAAGCCCAGAAAACCAAGAGAAAAATGTGAGCATACCTGCACACAGAATCTTCAGTCATTTATCCTCAGATTCCTAAATTTTCAGTAGGAGATTTGAAAATGATTCTATGTGTAAGGAAGTGGCCCATGCAGAGCTTGATGGCGTAACACTCTGCTCGCTTTACAGAGATGTGTTTATGTCAGACCTTTTTCTGAGCAGTATGTACTAGGGAAAACTGAAAAGCCAGTCTACGGCTAGTAAATTGGGCTCTGATATACTA